GGGGGGGGGAACTAACACACATAGCCTTTAATCTTTTTATTTGCTGCAGACCAACATTATAAGAATAATTACTAGCAGTAGTTGCTAATAGCGATGTTTTTGGTTTTCTTGGTGAATCATCAGCTGAGGATTTGCTTGCAAGGACATTAATTTTCCATTCCAAATGATATTTGTTTTCACGTCACGGGCTTGCTTGTTTGGCTTTGAAGGAAGCAAAAGAACTGAATTCTCTTTATTCCCAATTGCCTTCTAGTCAATCTTTCAGTTCACTTAGAAGTGTAGTTCTATTCAGGTGAATTTTAGCTCCCTGCGAATTGAATAATAAGCCGTTGTTCTGATTTTACATTTTGTCAACTGTGCTTTTACACATGCCATTAAAACCCTTTATTGTCTATTGCACTTAATTGAAATGACTTTCCTCTATTTTTAGCATTCACTCCATCATGCTTGTTGTCATATCTTGTCTATTTGGTCTATTTGTTCTCGCAATTTTCTCAGATCAGGTGAGCAACTTTTCACTACTCAAATCACTCATAAGTAATATCTAGTTTTTATTTTACCTCGACATTTAATTTTGTTAAATACATACTACTGATTTATCTATAAATAGTTAAGCATTGTTTGTCTTTGCAGATGTCAGCGATATTCGGTGATGAAACTGCAGTCGAACACGCCCAGCGCGTAAAACCTCGAACGGGTCGATCGAGTGCTCTCGAACTTCTTAATGATCGAGATTCTGATCTTGAAACAGGAGGCTTCCGTAAAATGTCCAAATTTGAGTTACTAAAAGACGTTTGTGGTACAGGCCCTGTATGGCTCTGGCCATTCCCTTGTTTGCATCGTAAACGTGTCAAAAATTTCAATTGGTTAGTAGATGGTCATGATTTTCGTGGTGGTGATGCAACTGTTGGAGGGGCTTTGAACACAGATATTCACTCCTCCGTAAACGGAAGTATCGATAATAGTGCAAATATACCCCTTCTTAGTGTTATACATGATGATATTGAAGAGCTAGACACCTTCATCACTCCAACTCACTCTAAAGCAAATACTACTCGTAGTGTTTCAGTTACCAGTGAATTTTGATAGATGTTGATTGACGATTTCTTTTATTTCCTTATCTATATATATTTCCTCATCTCTATTGTTACTGTTCACTTCCTCTTCTTGCTTCCTATTATGTACGCCACTGAAACCCTTATTTCTATGTATTTCAACTCTCCTGTAAAGTTGCAAAACGAATGGTTTTGGTTGCAAATGCCTGCAATTGTGCATTTAAGTAGTAGGGGTGTTATGATGGGGTTGCCTAGTTGAATGGCACACACTTCTTTTCGTTCTCTGTTAATAGGGTTATTGATCGCCAAATTTGCCATTTGACTAATTTAGTTTATCAGTCGTAAGCCCTGAACTAATATAGACGCAAAGCTCATCGCAATCTACATTGCTTTTTTGAGGCATATGAAATGAGAATATAACATTGGCAGATATCAAGGTCCTCTTAAATTCATCTGTGTCAGCTAATGCCTAAGTTATCGATTGAAAACTGTCATTCACTGCTTACGAAGCTAGATAGTTTACTTTCGTGCATTGGATGCGAAAGTTTAAATCTTAACAGAATTTCATTTTCACTCTAAAAAAAGAGCATTCTGAGATGATTTAGATGTTTTAAAATTTTCCATAAGGAACGAGATAAACAATGTCTGGAATGTTATTTTTCCAAGGAAGTTGTCTAGACTGAACATGACTCATCATTCTGATTTGGGATCTCTCTTGTTAGTCTGGGACATTCAATTGGCCAGAATTGTTCACCCAGACACTTTCCAATTCCATCGTGCTTAGAAATTCATGAAGTAATAACGTCCCACCTACTACTCATTTTAAGCTAATATGCGCTTTAAATTTAGCACAAGTGAGGCATTTCTGACGTACTATTCAAACAATGCATGATTCGATTGGCTTACATTTCATTTCATATGCTTTTTTGATAGTTTTAAAGCTTTAAGCTTGGTATTACTCATCACATTTTGTGAAAATCTTTATATCCCCAGGGTGTCGCTAAAATCCTCAATACGATTGCTCAGTTTTCTCATATTTTGAATCCTAACGCCTGGCATTTCAACTCCACTTTGAGATTGCCTTTGTGATCCAAAATAAAAGTACCAATGTTCAATTTTACAATTTGTAATTAAGTTATCAGGTTATAAACAGAGACAGAAAAAGTACTTCCCAGTGTGGGAAAGAATAGACTAAGTAGTCTGGACGCTAAGAGGCTAACTTCGATTTTCTTATAAGTGGAAACAACCTATTTTTGGCAAACCATGAGCCCTAAGTCTTACGTATCATAATTTGATGCACGAGCACCTGCGTGTAGTTCACTGAATGATTTATCGATTTTATTAATCTGTTGGCACGTCAGCATGATTTATCGACAACTTCTAAACAGCAGAGAGCGGGCAGTCTTGAATAGTCAATTCGCTTAAAAGAGTAAAATGAATCGGAGCTTACTTAAAGTGTGTTCAATCAATTCGAACTGTTGTTTAAGCATGCATAAAACCACCTGTCGAAATTTGGAAATTATGAACAATAGGATTAAGGAGGTGTGCGTCTAAATAGTTAGTAGTTTCAGGCAGCCGATAACTATGACTAGGTACCATTAATAGGACATGAGATGCATGATTTCAAAAAAAAACAAAAGAGAATATATACATTCGTGAAACAGTGAGACAACAATGTGATTCCCTAATGTCCTGCCAAATCTGTTGATTTGGCCTAATTTATTTATGTGAGACTGGTCCTTCTTTAGTGTTCATTTATTTCACTAACAAGAAGTTCTAATATGGTTCTTGCTTGACATTCAGCTATGCCATTTCTAGCTTATCTTTGAATCATCAAGTAAATGACCGGAAAGGTAGTCTGGGTCGCGATAATCGCCTTTTGAGGTTAAGTGGCTGCTCCGCGCATAGTCAAGAAGACAGCTTTGAATTGCCTGCGCCACTTGTGCTTCAACCTTAATCTGAGATTAATGGTAATATCAAGATCTAGTGGATGGTATTTTGCAGTGAACAGTCTATTTAAATCGGCAACTTAGTGGTATCTTTTTATGGATAATAAATGGTCTTTTAATTAAAGGTTACTCCCTTACCGTGAATGCTGATAAAGCTGATCAGCGTAGACTTGGATTAAATGTTTTTCGTCTTTTCTGCAATTAATCCTTTATACTCCAAATCTTGGATTTTGGCGCATGTTCTCTCTCCTTAAGCATTTAGTGGTCATAAGCAGAGATTTATTTTGTTTTAATTTATCCTAAAATGGCCCAGTATTATTATCCAAAAAGGGCAATAAATATTTGTTTATTTCATAAGTATCGTGTTGTAAAAATCGATTTTCATCGTATTTTTTTCGCTTTCTATCCCACTATCAAATTTAATAATATTTTTTTGTTTGCTGAGCGTTAAAGTTTAATCTTCTAACTTCCCATTGTATTCATTTATTATTTTCTAACTGATTTAATATATTTATTTACTTACTGCTCTCATTTCAATTTCATTCGAATGAAGTTGGCTTTGTCAAAATGGCGGAAAGCTGTGAATAATTGACTTAAAATACTTAAAAATTCAGTTTGAGTAATTTTTTAACCAATTAACAAATCATTATTGCCCATTGTGAATGGAAATCTTTTAACGCTTTTAGTTGCGGAAACCACTGAAGCCAACGAATGTTAAAGGGGAGAGGGTCCAATAGTTAATGAAAGTGATGTCAAGGTGACAAGGGGTCTCAGTTCTTTCGATTTTTTAGACTCGGATTGTACGGTCCAGAATTCAAACTTCACCATTCGTGGTCCGATTTGGGGGCAGATATTCAGTGCCTTTTCGAACCGTCATTGTTTATTCACTCCATTTAATTTGCTGAAAATATAAAATTTTCCTTCAAACAGTTCACTAATTCACAGTTTTAAGACATCAAAGTAGAGTTGGATAAGAATTTTAAATTGGATTAATAGAATAATTGACTAAATTTTTGTTGATCAACTGATTCCCTTTCTTCTATAATGCAGATAGAGGGGACTTGTATTTTTTCCTTTAAGGACCACCCAAATGGTATAAATTCTGTAATTTTTACATTCTTCTTTAGCCTTTTTTTCACATATCCATATTTAAGATACATCAAAAATATCTTTTCACTATTTTTTTAAAATTCTGACCAAATCGCGTCTAACTTATTTCATTCCCTTGAAAGTTGAATGTTTATTACTTTCCGAAGCGACTTTTAAAAGTTTCTCTGTTGTTCTCCTTTTTAGTTACAAATTGTGAAACTTTGTTTTTCTTATTTATCTCTCCGAGCTATCATCCTGTATAATCCTGTTTGTCATTTTAAGAGTCAATTGTTTACGTATAATTTTCAAAATTATTTGTTCAATATTAAATTTTTCTTGAGTGGCACGTAAAGATTAGCCTTTCACAAGTCTGTTCACCTCGGATTCATTCGTTTTAATATAATAAGCATTTTCAACGCCAAGTCTAAAATGCATTTCTATTTTAGGAAATCAAAAATACCAATTGTTTTAGAAAATTTGACCTTTGTAATACGATTTTACAGGCGGCTTCATGTTCAAATATTCAAATGTCCAAAATCGAGTTTTGTCCTCTGTGAATTCACATTCGCATTGTCAAGAGATAAAAGCATAATTTACTCATTTGGAAGGCTGATTTTGCCCCTTCAAATTCATTTTTTCACAATCGCCCGTTTAATAGTTAAATTGGATTGAACTGAGACGATTTTGAATTCACTAAAGTTCCACTGCTGAAGTTGCACGCGGAAATTGATTATTTATCTTGAACTAGCTTTTTTTAAACAGGGTTGAAAGATGTTCAAAATTTTGAATATCTTCACCACCACTCTCTCTGTAATAGGACAAGTTTTTTGTTTAAATTGTCCGTATTTTTCAGATGTCTTATTTTACCAAAATGCTCATATTTCAACAGTTAAGTTGATATTTGTTTTTTCATTCATGCTGACTTCGCCTTTATTTTCTAACTTTCCGTAATGTTAATTGTAACGAAACGTTGACCATTTTCTGTAATACATCCGCAAGTTTCACCTTCGAGATGACATCAAACTGACATTGTTTTATTCGAATATTCCTAACTTTATCTTTCATTTCCGAATTCATGTTTAAGTTCCTAGAATCACTCAATCTTCTTTCTCTGCTGGGTTTACTTGCTTTTCAGTGCCTTCTCTGAACGCACTTTCCTCACCTTGAATAGACCATTTGTTAAAGCAATTAATGGAACCTATAGGTGATATTTTTCGGGGTCAGTAATTAATGGGAAGAGGCTCCGTCTATGTTATCTGAATGATGTGCGCTTCCAACTGAACGAATTTCATAGAAACCACTATCGGCTAATCTCTTGGTCCAATCTAACCTTCATTTCTAACTTAATTTCTTCTCATCATTAAACGCTTTACAGATTCTTACATTTTGAAATATCTTGGACTGCGTAAGTCTCAACTACAATTATTTTTTTTGTTCCCTTCAATACCTTCCTTGTATGCTGTAAATTGTTATTATTTATGAGGAAATTATGACTATAAGAGAGGAATGCGATGCACTTATAAAGCCAACATTTACCCATGCACTTTTATCACTACCCTCCTTCCCCCCCCCCCCCAAACTAAACCCCNTTTTTCCCCCCCCCCCCCCCCCCCCCCCCCCCAAACTAAACCCTGAGGGGGGGGGGGGAAGAGAAGAGTGATAGTTACAATTATGATCTGGAAGGAGATACTCTGTGTGAATAAGACTGCCTAAACGGGACGCTAAATTCGTCACGATATCTGTTTTCCTAATCAAATCCACTGCCCCACACGTTATTTTCTGATTATAAAAAATCTAAACACACCACCACTTTGAAAGGGTTTTGCAATAATCCCACATTCGGTATTTGTGACACAGCGATAATTCACAAAATTTATTTATTTATTTCAAATGGCAGGCGTTTTGACAGCTATCATTAGCCCTTTAGTTGACTTCGGGCTTCACAGAGGGAAGGGTCATCAAAGTAGTGGAAAGTCGAGGAAGGGGAGCAAAA